GATGTTGCCCGCGATCGTACTGGTGCCTAGCTCCCCTAGCTCCGCCTTGGGGCCTGGCCCTGCTTCGCTGAGGCGGCTTGCTCTTGCCGCCCTGCAGGCCCCACGGGACATCGTACCAGCCGCCGCAACCGTGCTGCGCTGGTTGGACGGGCGGTTGTGTTGGATCCTGGCCGAGTAGCGGCCCCATTCTCTTTGCTCGCTTGCTTGGTTCCCGGCCTAGCCTTGGGCTTCCCCATGGTGGTTACTCCACGCCTGGGGGTGTTGTTCTTGTTGTGTATTGTCACTGATGCATGTTGTACCGCTCCTTCTTATAATGCTTGCCTTCCCCCTTTCCTTGTCACACCTCACGCGAGCCGCCAGCTTTTTTAGAGTTAACTGAACTCACTAGTGAATAATGAGCCCCATGGGCAAGGAACTAGGGACTTTATACTAGGGAGGCACTACTGAAAACGGCTAAGGACTAAGGACTAGTCTAGAGAGGCTAAAAAAAACGGCTAAGGACTAGTCCCAAGCCATCCCCGGCCTCCTAAGCCACTCATGTATGTATAGGGTTCATAAGGTACAAGCATGGCAGATGGTGGCTACTAGATTGTCTAAGCATGTATGCGACCGTGAGGCTAAGATAGCAAAGCCATCAAGCAAACAAGCCAGCAAGCAAGACAAGTGATGCCACATCGTCAGAGTGTGCACACACTGAACACCACACACGAAGGCACCCCAGCCGGCCAGCATCGAGGCCACCGGTCCCACATTCCTCCTGCTCCCGATCTTCCCACCTCGCTCCTAACTCGTAGTCCTTAATCCTCTTCCCTGCCGCTAGCTAACATCTCCCTGCCACTGCCTTCGTTCAATCCCCGGCTTCCTAATCCGCTATAGCAGGAGCTTGACGCTCCTCATACTCGTCCTCCTACATCTGCCAGAGGTCCCCCAGTCGAGGGGCCCAGGGGTCCACCGCCGCTTCTGCTGCCCGGTTTGACTTAGAGAGGGGTGAAGTCGCCTGGCTGCGTTGGAGCATCACCGACCACCGCTGCCGGTATTGTGCGTTGAGGCGGGCTGCAGTGGTAGTGAGGCGCCCCTGGCGGTATTTTTTCTTTGCCGAATAGGTAGCCAACATACGGAGGAACTGCTGGGTGTCAGCCGCTAGAGGCCCATAGGTCTCAACCGCCAGGCTGAAGGAACCGACGTAGCTAGGACGCCCTTCGTAGAGCCGGTGCTTTGTCTGCGAAGCCTCCTCAGATGCCCATCCTGGCGGCTTTCGGGCCCTCACATCCCTCCTCTGCAGAACCGGGTCAGTAACTGTCACGTCCGTAGCCCAAGTCTCGCCCGATTCCTGGTCCTTGATGGCAAGGTCGGCCCATCTGCTCAGGACAGGGGGCGAGAAAGCGGTCTTCTCGTGAAAAGTCTTGTACCCCGCCTCCTGCGCCATGCGCATAGCAGCATGGACCAGGGTGTTGTGGGTGCGGATGGCGTCTCCGCCATCCGCACAATGTAGCAGGTGGTTCGGCAAACTCTTGTCGACTATTGTGGAGTTTGATCTATTGCAAGGGCAGACCTCCGCTACCGGCAGCTCTATGCCAAGGTGCAAGCCTTGTGCCATGGAGAACTGACCAGGGGATATTGAAAGGTCAGCTCTCGTGGGCACTGCATGAAGCCAGTTACCGGCTCCCACTCCTTTCAGACTAATGAGCCAAATAGCATGGCCCCGGTCCACGCCTGGTGTGTCAACAATAGTATCCGCCAGTAGCTCATCCGCCCGCGTATGGTTAATGGCCTTGGAAAGCCCCAATTGCAAGTTGTCCACGTGTGGTTCTCCCTGTAGCTGCGTAGAACCACCTGTGCCTGTGCTGGGAGCCTTGCCTCGAGTGGGGACAGCGGATTCACCCGGGGGGGAGGTGGGGTCCATGTGGGGGAGAGCAGTTCCCTAGCCCTATGAAGTAGGTAGTCTGGCGGCAGGCTCAGCTGCTGTAGTAGAAGCTGCGCCACTGCAGTCGAGGCGAGGTACGTGGCCGGGGCTTCAGAGATGGGATGAATGATTCCCAGGCCCCCCAGCCGAACAAAGAGCGTTGCCTTGCGCCAGAGTAGGCTTTGCTCTAGCTCGCTCGACGGGATCTATAGCTTCGATGCCGTGAGCCCTGCTCCTACCAACACTTCGCTCCACTCCCTCCATTCCGTACGAGCTAGTGCCTCCGCTGGTGTTGTGCGCAGTAGGTACGAGATGCGGAGGGAGATGCTACGGGAGAGCATGAGGAGGGCATGCTACGGGTTAAGTTGGGAGAGCTAGTGCCTCCGCCGGTGTTGTGCGCAGTAGGTACGAGATGCGGAGGGAGATGCTACGGGAGAGCATGAGGAGGGCATGCTACGGGAGAGCATGAGGAGGGCATGCTACGGGAGAGCATGAGGAGGGCATGCTACGGGTTAAGTTGGGAGATGAGGGGTAGTGGCGCAGCTTCCCCCGTGAGAGCCGCCCGAACCTGTTCGGTGCAGAAAGCGTTGCTACCGATGGGACTGCCCAACACCCTTATACAGCATGGGTGAACAGGCAGACAGTGCGGTAGATAATCTCCCCCCTCCTCCTTCGTGGCACACCACGCTGCCGACGTACTGATGTTTCACCGCAATCCGCATGAAGCAAGCTCCGCCACCACCGTGTTCAAAGCTACGCATGCTGCTAGACGGGGCCCGGCAATGGTGATATCGTCAGCATTTGCTACTACCGCCACCTCCAAGACGCTCATGGCCACACTAAGCAGTATGGGCTGGATAGCCCGCGAAGAGAAGGGGCCTTAGCGAGTCCCCTTGGCGAACACCCCTGGAACTCTGGATGTGATCTACTTCGAGACGTGGGCCCACCAAAAGGCGCGAGGGTACATCATAGAGGTTCCGGACGAGCGGGAGCCTTAAGTGTCGACCACTGGAGGGCGGAGAGAAATGAAGCGTGCTCAACGCTATTGAATGCATTCTCCACATCCAGCTGGAGAGCTATGCGGGTCTCGTCTTCTTTGAGGAGGGACCGGACCGTGTGGATAATACAGTCAGCACCTCCTAGGACAGCTATGCCGAACTGAACGGGAAGGAAGAACTCTCAAATCTGTGCGGGCCTAAGCTGTGTAGAGCTGCTTTTGCCACCACGCGAAGTAGTGCCTCTCCCATTGCGATCGGTCTTACTCCTCCCCCAGGCTTCTTTTGTGCTATAAGACAGGAAGGGAGTAGTAGGTCGCGGACTGGTTGGCTCTGGAAAGAACTGGCGAGACGGTTAACCACGTTCGCCAGGAGCAGCATTATTTCCTCAATCGCCAGGGCTGGGTCTCTCAGGTGTTCAAAACAACAGCCCGAGGGTCCCGCTCCTACCCCATTCGGGCACTTCGCGAGGATTTCGCGAAGGGCTTCCAGCGGGACACTGATCTCCCGAGCCGGTGATCCCAGTAACCCAGGTTGGCGTTGGAGTGCTAGAGGACGGGTGTTTCGCTCGCAGGGCAGTCACCGTCGCCACGTTCGGTTTGGCGAGGGGGCTCATGCGTAACACTGCAAATGTTTTTGAAATGTTACTCTTTTTAATCAAACCCTCTGCCCTTGTGCAAACGCCCTTGCCGTTGTTTTGATGTCTAAGTGGAGCACCCGTGTCAGGGATGGTGCAGGCAGCCTCAAACAAACCATCCCAATCTTCCTGCTAGAACCGATGCAGCCGAGCCTCAACTGATGCCCATCGGCTACTAGTTACTGGCTCTGGTGATGGACGTAGTGTGAGCCTTGGGAGGTACAGTAGGACCCCCCATGCACGTGGACATTCCGCGTTTGTTGATAGCTGCAGGAGTGGTGCGAGGAGGCACAGGCAATATTTATCCAACACCTGGGGTGGCAACCGTCTGACTAGGAAGGGTTGGTCCATCCGTTGGAGAAGATCCATGGTCCACGTGCCTGCCACCTGCCAGATGGCATCATCCTCTGCCATGGTGGCTGGCGACTTCACTTTGTTGGTGACCGCAGCAACTGGTATAGTCACTACCGCATCTTGGGATGTTACTCCGTCCACTCTCTCTCCCACGCCCCTCGCTCGATTCCATCCCCTTCCCACCTCCTCCTCGTTTTCCAGTGAAACATCTTCTGACTCTGGCTCCAGTTCCTCACCACACATAAACTCGGGGTCTTCTCTCTCCTCGGCAGAGTCAGTGTCACCCTCATTGGCTGGAGCCTCTGTACGCTCAGGCAAATCGTAGCATTCCCGCCAAGGGCCCGTTCTCGCTTGGATCTCAGATCCCCTTAGGCGCGTGACACCTCCCCCCCCCCCCCCCCCCCCCCCCCCTCTTCCCCCCTCCCTCGCCTTTCGCGGCTAGCTCCGCGCAAACCACGGCCTATCACCGGCGCAGATCGGACCGTGGCCTCCAGTCCCGCGCGTCCCGCCGGCATCCACGGCATGCGGCCTCCCCTTGGAGAACCCCACGTGACGGTGCCCAGCCTCGCCGAGCGCCGCGTGGCGACGTTTTCAGTAGCTGGGGCAACTAGGCTTGGCGATGAGTTCACCAGTGCTTCGTTTTCCCGATTAGAAACTGACGTCGCTGCTTGGCAGGTTGTTGTGGTCTATGCTTCATTCAATCCGAAGCCCCCCCACCCCCCACCCACCCCCCCGCCGCATGCGGTTGCGCAGATGACGACGGACGCGCTAGCACTGGTGGCGGTTGCCCTTGCAGAACCCAGCCCAGGAGGGGTCCCGAGAAGCCAGGCCCCAGCCCTGCTCCGGGCCGTCTCGGCGCTGGCTGGGCACGCAGCTTCTTCTTTGACTTCGCCTGCACAGCACCGAAAGCAGCACCGTTCGCGGGTCCCAGACTCTCACCCTCCACCTGGCTGTGCTCCGTCCTGTTTGCGGCCGATGCAGCAACAGACGTTCCAGCGCACGCAGCGGCACTCGGCGCGCCTTCCGCCGCCGAGACTCTGCCCTGCTCCCCTGTCGCAGCAGACACCACCGCCGCCAGCACAGCCAACGTTACCGGTGCCGGTGACACGGACTATGCCACCTCCCTGGTCTGCTCCGGATGTGCACACAGCCTCGTCTCCTCAGCCTGCAACTGTGCCACATGTGGGGTGGCAGAAGGTGAAGATGATCCGCCGCCAAAGGCAGCAGCAGAACCACAAGCACGCACCGGACCCGCCACCGTCTCCGCTGCAGGCACGGCAGCAGCAGCCGCCTCAGGCACCGCAGCAGCCACCACCCGGGGTAACGCAGCAGCTGCCGGCTCAGTCACCACTACGTCGCTTTCCCCTGCCCCCCCAGCCGTGGCAGCCTCGTCCCTTGATGTCCCACGTTCCTCCGTCACCTCTCCTACACGCTCCAACCCCTCAGGCAGTACCGGCCCTGACGTCATTCCCTCGGTACTTTTATGGCGGGCCCCATGTGCAACGTCCGCCGAAGCCGGTGACGCCTCCCACCCAGCCACCTCCTCGTGCCGTGGTTCCTGGCAAGCTAACGCTTCGCGTCGAGTAGCGCGTGATGCACGTGGGGACTTGCTTGACGCTCCTGTCATATGTGCTCAACCAGCTTCACATGACCCTGGCGCAGCAGGGGGTGCAGATCGAGGGGATGCAGCCTGCAGAGCAGTCAGCGGCGGAGTCGGCAGCGGAGGAGTGCAGCATTATCTCCCACTGATTGGCTTTGTGCCGGGATCCCCTTGGGCTGCCCTCCGGCCGGCTCTGAAGCTTTGGCGCGGCTTGCCGATTCTGCCCGGGAAGAACCACTCGACCTTGTAGCAGCAGCCGCGTCCGTCCTACAGTGGCTGGATAGGAGGTTGTGTTGGATCCTTGTTGAGTAGCAGCCGCCTTTCCCTTGCCGGCCCCCTTGGTAGCAGGCATGGCCTTAGGCTTCCCCATGGCGGTGCAGTCACGCCTGAGGGTGTTGTTGTAGTTGTTGTTGTTTTACGGCTGAATGTTGTACTGCCACTTGCTATGCTTGTCGCTCTTTTCCCTTGTCACCCCTCATGCGCGGCCAAAGGCCGCGCCAACGAGCGGTGGCCGCCGCCGCCGGTTTTGGAGAGTGAACCAAACTGACCGGTGAAGAATAAGCTCACCAGGCATGGAACTGGGACCTCTATACTATAGAAACACTGCTGAAAACCGCTAAGGACTAGGAATAAGAGGCTAAAAAACGGCTAAGGACTAACCCCAAGCCATCTCTATGAGGCAGTCCTTCATTGATGGGCTCATAAGGATACAGACATGCAAGCAGTCTACGACCAACTTCCAGACTGATAGTCCTGCATAGACGGCAAAGTAGCAGGCAAGCAAGGTAGCCACCAAGCAGAGAGACAACCAGTAAGTAGGCCGCCAGGTAAGCTGACAAAGGAGCTAGCCACCATGTGAGCATGCAGACAAACGAGCAGGCCAGGAAGCACACCAGCAGTCAAGCCATCACACGGGCAAGCAAGCAAGCAAGTGATCCTGCCTCCTAGCCGACCCAATAAACATCTTGGCACCTACTCCAGCCGCCTACTCTTGATCCGCCCCTGGCCCTATGCCTGACCCCTCTGCCATGTCCCCCCCCTGTCCCCATCTCCGGCCCATAGCTCGCCCTCTCCTTCCCTAAACCAACAGTGTAAAAAAAACAACAGTGTAAAAACAACAACAGCTGAAACACCAGTACAAGGTGTGTGGCGTCACTGCTGTGATATGTCAGAATGAACAAGAGTGATTGAACTAGGAAAGAGTTGGGTACAAGTAGGAAACCCTAAACTTACTGTACCCCATAGTAACTACCCCACTACAGCCTAAACAAACTGTAGCAGATATAACATTTGACACACCCCCATAGGCAAAGTGGGGGAGAGCAAGGGGTCACAAGACCAGTCAAGAAAGGCAAAGCAAGCTCAGGGTGGATCACAACGTCACCACACACTCTGAGCACAAGCAAAGGGCCACAAGGCCAGTTCACATGCAGAGGCATATATGCAACACAAACAGCACAGTGATCTCTACCTAGCAAAGCAAGCATGCAAGCATATATATAGATCACAGTACAAGCAAAGCCTACAGCAAGTGAGGAAAAGTGGGCACAAGCCCTAGCATAGTGCAGAAACGCAGATGATCATGAGACTGAAGTGCCTTGGTAAATAGATCAGCACTGTTTGCCCGAGTGGCCACGTAACGCAGACGAAGCTGACCACGCTGCTGCAACTCTTGAGCCAGGAAGTAACGCAGAGCGATGTGCTTCGTTATGTGCTCCAGTCTGTGCTCCTCACACAAGGCCATGGCAGCCTTGTTATCGATGTACAGCACTGGAGGAGAACGAGGCCGCTTTTCCAAGTCGGTTAGCAGGTAGGTGAGCCAGCATGACTCCTGTGCAGCCATGGTTGTGGCGTAGATCTGAGCCTCACATCTGGAGCTGAGAACTGAAGACGAGCGAGTAGAACGCCAAGAAACTGAGCCAGAGCCAAAGCTGAAGGTGTAACCCTGTGACGACCGCTGAGTAGCCTGGTCGTCAACCCAAGAAGCGTCTGAGTGCCCAGTGAGCAGTAGCCCCATGCCTGATGTGCTGCACAAGTAGCGCAGTACCCTCTTAGGGGCAGCCATGTGCTCAGGTCGGTGCCGACCAAGAGCCACGTAGCGAGGCAGAAGACCAAGAGGGTACGCAAGGTCAGGACGAGTGCAAGTCATCAGGTACATGAGGCAGCCAACTAGCTCTGGGTAAGGACCACTCGGCTCTACGGACTCGTCCGAAGGTGGAGCTGAGGGTGAGTGACCTGTAGCCAGAGGAGTGGCCTGTGCTGAGGACCAGGTGAAGCCGGAGCGCTGAAGGACCTGCTGCACCATATGTGACTGAGTCAGCGTCATGGTGCGGCGTGCTCTGTCCCGGGTGATCTGCAAGCCAAGGTAGCTGCGTAGTTCACCCAGGTCTATGCACGTGTGTCTCTTCTAGAGCTCCGACCTCACGTGGATGAGAGCCTCAGTGTCAGCAGTGGCAAAGACCAAGTTGTCGACGTACACGAGGATGTAGAACGCCGATAACGACGTGTCGGTGCGCGGAAACAGCGACGGGTCAGCAGTAGAAGGCGCGAACCCAAGAGCCGCAAGTGTAGTCCTCAGTGTGTCGTGCCACTCACGTGGGGCCTGGCGGAGACCGTAGACCGGCCGTTGGAGGCTCCACTGGGTACCAGGAGGGAACGACCCAGTGAAGCCAGGAGGGCGGCGCAGCCAGATCTCTTGTGCAGGCTGCCCTACAAGGACGAAGGGCCATCTGGTGAGTGCCTGGGACAGCAAGAGGACGCTGACGCGAAACACGACGACCAGTGCGAGCAGCACGAACAGGTGACGCAGACCGACACTCAGGCGACACAGGACGAGACTCAGGCTCACGACGCTCTGTAAGACTGCCTGTCGGACCAGTGTAGGGAGAAGGACCAGGGAGTGGCGAGGTAGGCTGTAGCTGTGACTGCGACCGGACAGGCGAAGGACACTCTAAGGAGGGAGCAAGACAAGGAGGAGGCGGCTGACCAAGAACCTGCTGAAGGAAGGGAACGAAGTACGGCTGTGGCCGTGGAGTGCCCCTAGAACTAGCAGAGACAGCACCAGAACCTCCAGTAGTAGTGCCTATGCCCACAGCACCCCCAGCAGCTCCAGTACCTCCGGAAGCACCAGCAGCACCCCCAGCGGGACCAGCACCAGCAGCACCTTCAGCGCGACCAGCACCAGCAGCACCTCCAGCAGCTCTAGTACCTTCAGCAGCACCATCAACACCTCCAGCGGGACCAGCACCAGCAGCACCTCCAGCGGGACCAGCACCAGCAGCACCTCCAGCAGCTTCAGCAGCACCTCCTGCAGGACCAGCACCGACAGCACCTCCAGTAGCTCCAGAACCTCCAGCAGCATTAGGGCCTCCAACGGGCGGCACCAGAACACGAGAAGCTCCACTCCGTAGGCTGCAGCGTCGAGCGTACCACTCACGTAGCCGCTGAGGGGAGGGAGGCTCCGGACCCGACACTGCACCTGCGGGACCACCAGCCCCAACTCTAGTAGAGCCCCCAGCTCCAGTAGCCCCACGCCGGAGGCTGTAATTCTGGGAGTACCACTCACGCAGCTGCTGTGAAGAGGGAGTACCAACAGGCGCAGCACGGTCAGTCTCAGAACCCCCAGCCTCAGCTCCTCTAGGCTCAACACCCCCAGGCGCAGTACCCTCAGGCTCAGCACCCCCGATCTCAGCACCCTCAGGCTGAGCTCCTGCAGTCCCCGCACCCCCAGGCTCAGCACCCCCAGTCTCCACACCCCCAGGCTCAACACCCACAGTCTCAGTACCCCCAGACCCAGTACCACCAGGCTCAACACGCTCAGCACCTTGCGCAGGACTAGAGTCGACAGCTACCTCGACAGGATCGACCGGGTCTACCTGGGACACACTGGAGGGAGCAGCACCCTGGGGAGGGAGGGGGTCTACTGACGGGACACCTGGGGTGAGGAAGAGCGGCGGGGGGGGGGGGGGAGCGGGGCAGTGCGGTAGGGGAAGAGACGGTAAAAGGGTACCGACTCGTCAAAAGTGACGTCCTGAGAGGGGAAGACACGACGCGAGGTGGGGTGGTAAAACTGCCAGCCAGGCGCGTCAGGGACAAAGCCAAGGAAGACACATGGAACGGCACGGGAGGAGAGATTGTCCGCGGACGTATCCCGGACAAAAGCTCGACATCCCCAGACTCGGAACACCGACGCATCGCCAACCTCCCCCGTCCAACGCATTGTGGGCGAGGTCTCTGGAGCAGAGACACGGGGCCAGAGGTTGAGCTTATGCGCGGCGTACTGCACTGCAAACGGCCACAGGAAATGGGGGGCAACCGCATGGATCATGGAGGTACGAGCGACCTCCATGACCAAGCCAATGCGGTGCTCAGCAACCCCATTCTGCTGAGGAGAGGCCGGAAGAGTGAACGTCTGGCGGATGCCGTGCTCCGTACAGTAGGCTGCCAAGAGGTCGGAGGAAAACTCACCACCCCTGTCAGAGTGCAGGCGCAGGATGGGAAAGTCCGACTAGAACCGCTTGCGGAGCTGGAGACGAGCAGCGCGGATCCACGGGATCAAGACATCAGGGACCTCACCCTTGGTACGCAAGGGGAAGACCGTGGTGTAGCGCGTGTAGTCGTCGACGACCAGAAGGAAGTAACGCTCATGGCCCTGTCCCCGGACGCGGGCTGGGCCCCACACGTCCAAGTGGAGAGTCTGCAAGGGAGCCTTTGTGGGAGGGAACGAGGAGGAGTGAGGAGCGGCACGCTGCCGCCCCTCGACACAGGGAAGACAGGGAGGAGCAGGCGAGTGTGGGAGGGGAGGGAGAACCCTGGGAAGACCAGAGACAAGGTACCGGGAGTGCATGCTGTGAAGGCGCTGCACTGACGGGTGACCAAGGCGGTGGTGCCAGAGGACAGTCCGGTGTGACAGGGAGCGACACGAGCAGGGGGGCGACAGCTCACCTGACGCAGACGCAGACGCAGCTACCTGAGGGGACTCAGTGGTCAGCGTGTACAAGTCCGACCCCAGCTGCCGAGTGAAGGTAGCCAGGTGACGACCCGTCTGGGCACACGTGCAGTGCGTCACACGCTCGTAGGGAGGGGTGAACTGGTGAACACCCGCATCCTGGAGCGCGGAGCTCGCCACCAAGTTTGTAGAGAACGAGGGGAGGTAAAGGCCCGACAGTATGCCAGACGGGACAGCAGGACAAGGGAGGGCAGTGGTGGAGGTCGCAAGGACTGGACCCCCAGAGGGGTCAGCCAGGGAGACAGCAACCGGCCTAGGGAGCTGCTCGAGGGCAGTGCGGACGCGAAAGAAACAGCGGGAAGCACCCGAGTCTAGTGTGAAGGTGCACAGTGCCACAGTAGACGTAGTACCTGAAAGCGCAG